CCACCTTAGGTGTACGTGGCTGGCGCCTTAGCCGATTGAGCTATAGGCGCCGAGCCTTGGTGCTTTTTTGCCAACTGCGCTGGGACAGAAAGGGACTTGAAGCTGCTCCTCACCTGATCCTTTCCAAACAAAGATGACCATAGTGTTATTTTTTTTACATGTGAACATTACAGCATTGCAGAACTGGATAACATGGCAACTAAAAGTCACATAATCCTCTATCAAAAGAAAACCATTGTTAACAGTTGGTGGGGAGAATATAAACATATATTTAAATATGTATTATAAATCTCAGGTAAGATAAGAGGCACAGAAGTCAGGCAATTTACTGTCTGCTTTTAGATAGGGTCAGATGTCAACTCTTTTAATTCTTACAACAACCCTGTGGGATGCTGCTGTACCTTAACCTTGGCAGTTTGAAACCTGTTCCATCGCAGCAATAGCACATGGGAGCTTGTTAGAAATGCAAAATCTCAGGCACCTTCCCAGGGACTGCAGGTGACTATGCATTTTAACAAGATTTTTTCAGGTTATTCGTGTAAACAGCAGTCTGAGAAGCCTGCTCTACTTCCCACTGAACCTACTTGTAGAGCAAAGAAGGAACTGGGGCCAAGTTTGAGGGCACCCACAGGACAAACAGGGAGGAAAGAACTTCCCTGAAGTAAACTATAGCCCTGGCCCTCCTGGCAAAGTTGGTCCTTACTTCCTCTGCTATCACTGTACTTGATGCCTAAAAGTTATCTATTTCCAGGAGGTGGTCGCTGTCGGTTAAGCAAGGTGGGGGCTAACAGGCGCCCACCTCCAGCTCGAGTAAGGGTGGCTGTGCGACTGCGGCCATTTGTGGATGGAACAGCTGGAGCAAGTGATCCTCCCTGTGTGCGGGCTATAGACAGCTACTCTCTAGAGATTGCCAACTGGAGGAACCACCAGGAGACACTCAAATACCAGTAAGTATCAGGCCATTCCTCCCTCACACCATCACCTCTCTCCCCTAGGCCTGCTCACATTATCACTTGCCCAGAGAGTTTCCCAGACCTGCCTCTCTTGGGTCTTTTCTCCCTCTGCAGCACCAGTCTGTTCCCCACACCTTCATTTGTTTATTCAGGAAATGTTGGCGGGTACCCACTGTGATAAGTGCTTTCTAGGATACTGCAGAGAGAGACTGGAGACTGAATCAGATACAAATTACTGTTCAGTCTTGAGGGGGGAATAGACTCAAAGGGAGGAAGGAACAGCAAAGGTGAGCAAGGGAGCCCTAAGTAGGGTCTGATGGGACATATGGGAAGGGTTAGAGGAACACAGACCAGTCAGCCATAGCAGGGTAGTGTCAGAAGACCACCCAGATTTGGGGGCAGAACTCACAAGGGCAGCTACTTTTAAAAATTCCACTGGGAAGGGTGGCACCTGTGGCTCAAAGAGTAGGGTGCTGGCCCTATATGCCGAAGGTGGTGGGTTCAAACCCAGCCCTAGCCAAAAAAATAATAAAAATCCCATCGGGAATTTAAAGTTCAAACTCCTTAGCCCAGGGGCCCTCAACCTTTTTAAACAGGGCGCCAGTTCACTGTCCCTCAGACTGTTGGAGGGCCGGACTGTGGGCCCCGGGATGAGTTGGCTGCTAAGCAGGACAGGCAGTGGCGGCAAAAACACCTAGCAGGCCAGATAAATGTCCTAGGCAGGCCGTAGTTTGAGGACACCTGCCTTAGCCTGTTACACTAGGCCAACCAGTGGGTGGCAAACCAGGGACTTCAGGTCAGTTCTGACCAGGAGTCTTTATCATTCATTTACATTTTGTCTATAACTGCTTTCCAATTGCAATGGCAGAGCTGAGTAGCATATGACCCACAAAACTGAAAATATTTACTATGTCTTTACAAAAAGTTTGCCAACTCCCATTCCAGGCCCTTGACAATTTGGCTTCAGTTTCTTTCCAGCCTCATCGCCTTCAACACATATAAAACTATGGTGTGGGCGGTGCCTGTGGCTCAAAGGAGTGGGGCACTGACCCCATATGCCAGAGGTGGCAGGTTCAAACCCAGCCCTAGCCAAAAACTGCAAAAAAAACTCTATGGTAGGGCCTAAGCCATAGCTTCTCCCCCAGACTGCAGTGAATTGGCTGTCTGTATGTTGAGTCTATGCCAGCCATAGGCAGCATACCCTGTTTTGCCCATTATGGTATATAAGTAAAATTGTCTATACATGTCACCATGTGAAGAAGATTGAGAAATCATGCTCTTTTACACCTTATCTGTTAATATGTGCTATTTTCAATACTCAGACATTCTTTCTTTCCCTCCTGTCAAAGTCCTATTTCCTTGAGCAGAATCAGTCCTTCTAGTGTGTTCTCATCCTAAATCACAGCAAAGTATGGGTAACTAACCCACCAGATTACAAAATTCCCAAGAGCAGTGACATTAGGTTCGTCTTCAATCCTGACACTAATACATAGACTGGAACAAAGTAGGTGTTCAGTGGATTTTTTAAAAGATTTTTGCAGCTCGGCGCCTGTGGCTCAAGCGGCTAAGGCGCCAGCCACATACACCTAAGGTGGTGGGTTCGAATCCCCGGCCCGGGCCCGCCAAACAACAATGATGGCTGCAACCAAAAAAATGGCCAGGTGTTGTGGCGGGCGCCTGTAGTCCCAGCTACTTGGGAGGCTGAGGCAGGAGACTCGCTTGAGCCCAGGAGTTGGAGGTTGCTGTGAGTGTGATGCCATGGCACTGTACCCAGGGGGATAGCTTGAGGCTCCGTCTGAAAAAAAAAAAAGATTTTTGCATAAGAAAAGGAATTGAGACTTTCTTTTAAATCTGGGGCCTGGATGAGAATGCCTTTTCCCCTAACCAAACACGCACATACTGATTTCTTCCTTTCTGCCTACCTATAGATTTGATGCCTTCTATGGGGAGAGGAGCACTCAGCAGGATATCTATGCAGGTTCAGTGCAGCCCATCCTTAGGCACTTGCTAGAAGGGCAGAATGCCAGTGTGCTTGCCTATGGGCCCACAGGAGCAGGTGAGAGAGCCAAATAGGGAATAGCTGTTGGTCAGAAAAAGCTAGAAACAGAAAGGAAAACCTCACAGCTTTTTCTCTTTTCCCAGGGAAGACTCACACAATGCTGGGAAGCCCAACCCAGCCAGGAGTGATCCCCCGGGCTCTCGTGGACCTCGTGCAACTCACAAGGGAGGAGGGAGCTGAGGGCCGGCCATGGGCCCTCTCTGTCACTATGTCCTACTTAGAAATCTACCAGGAAAAGGTGAGGCCACACTCTTGTTGGGAGGGAAGAAACAAAGGGTCTAAGTAATACCTAGTTCTAAGGTGAGACCTGGAAAGACAGAGATTGGGGTAGAATCCAGCAGAGAAAATGAGGCTGATCCCCAGGAAGCAAGCAGCCTCTGTATCAGTGGTTCTTAACTTATGGGTCACGACCCATAGGAACTGTATCAAAGGCTCGTGGCATTAGGAAGGTTGAGAACCACTGCTCTATATAGAGATCTGGCTTTACCTCTCATTGCTTAAATAGGTATTAGACCTTTTAGACCCTTCATCAGGAGACCTGGTGATCCGAGAAGACTGTCGGGGAAACATCCTGATACCTGGCCTAACACAGAAGCCCATCACTAGCTTTGCTGATTTTGAACGGCACTTCTTGCCAGCCAGTCGAAATCGGACTGTAGGAGCCACACGGCTCAACCAGCGCTCTTCTCGCAGTCATGCTGTGCTCTTGGTCAAGGTGAGGTCTATTGACAGGTGAGTAGGGCAGCCCTTGGAGCTTAAGCTAAGCCTGGGACTTTTGTTCTTACCCCCAGGTGGATCAGCGGGAACGTTTAGCCCCATTTCGCCAACGGGAGGGAAAACTCTATCTAATTGACTTGGCTGGCTCAGAGGACAACCGGCGTACAGGCAACAAGGGCCTTCGGCTGAAAGAGAGTGGAGCCATCAACACCTCCCTCTTTGTTCTGGGCAAGGTGGTGGATGCACTGAACCAGGGCCTTCCTCGTGTGCCTTACCGGGATAGCAAGCTCACTCGCCTACTGCAGGTTAGGGCAAAGAAGCTGGAGAAGGAGGCTCTCAGGCCTGCCAGGGGGCTGGGAAATAGCAGTTAAGAAACAGGAAGGCTGGGCTTCTCATTCACCCACTCTGCCTGACCCCCATCCCTTAGGACTCTCTGGGTGGCTCAGCCCACAGCATCCTCATTGCCAACATTGCCCCTGAGAGACGCTTCTACCTAGACACAGTCTCTGCGCTCAACTTCGCTGCCAGGTCCAAAGAAGTGATAAACCGCCCTTTTACCAATGAGAGCCTACAGCTTCATGGTGAGGACTGGGGGAGGCAGGCATGCATAGGCTGAGTCTGGAAATCAGGAAGTTTGCTGAAACCACTAAGCATGTGCTGACCATCTCCCATCCCTTCACCCACCCCAATCTTCTTTTAGTCTTGGCACCCGTTAAGCTTTCTCAGAAAGAACTGCTAGGCCCATCAGAGGCAAAGAGAGCCCGAGGTCCTGAGGAAGAGGAAATTGGGAGCCCTGAGCACATGGCAGCTCCAGCTTCTGCCTCCCAGAAACTCAGGTGAATATTGGGACTTTGGGTATATCCCCTTCCTGTTGTGTCTGTGTTAGCTGTGGGGCTGCGGTAGGTTTAGCGTCAGATCATTAAGCAGAGACAGCTGTAAACTTGTTCTCCCAATGAATTCACCTAAAATCTAACTCTGATCTTAGCATCTCAGTGAATTCAACAGTCTGTCCTCAGTGGGGACCTAAAGAGCCTTGGGCTCCTACAGCTTTCCCTTTCCATCTTCCAATTCCTTCAAGCCATCAGCAAAACCTCAAATTCTGGGGTAGCTGTTTCAAGAACAAGCAAGGGATAATCTGAATCAGATCTCTCCAGTCTAGAGGATGACAGCAACCCAAAAGAGGGAAGAGATGAAGAGAGAAGTCTTGCTGAGACCACTCCATCTATATGTCAGGGCCCAATCTCCATGACTCTCCAAGGAGCTGGTTGCTGTCCTAATTTTGCCTTGTTTCTACCCTTAGTCCAGATAAAGCATCTAAACGAAGTGACCTCTAAAGGTCTGGGTGAGACCCCCCCCCCCGTATCTGACAGGCCACTGTTTCTGTGGCCTCTTGGCCCAACTCTGGTGGCTCTACCTCATAGAGGAGTACATAGCTTCTGAGTTAATGTAGTATGTACTAATCTTCAGGTCACCTGTGTTCAGTGATCTTAACTTTCTGGATCTGGCCTCTTGAGCCCCCTCCCCTCCTCTGTTTCAAGGAGTCAGTTTTAGCTTTGCCCTGTTTCTATCCCTATCCCTAATAAAGCCTCTAAGCAGTGTAAGTCCTAAAACTACTGAACAGAGGTGATCTGAGGAAGCCAAGGACTAATGTACATTCTGCCCCAGAGGACTACTGTAGTTGAAGAAAATGCCAAACACAAGAAGATGCTTGCTCACTCATGACCCTACCTCTCAGGCTTGTCTTTCTCAAGCTGTCAGCAGTCCCCTCCTATGTGCACAAACTCAGACGAACTTAACACAGGCAAGCTATGAACAGGCAAGTTCTCTGCCAAATAAGTGCTTTGGTGTAGGGGAGGCTCCGAGCTGGAGCTTCCTCAGACCTAGACAGACCCTGAGTTTGTGGGCCTCACTTTTTAGGAAAGGAAGTAAGGTGAGAACCTCATGTGATGCCAGGTTGATAGTACACAGAATAAGGAAAACTAGCTGCATGTTCTGTGACAGCCAAGTAGGAAGAATGACTTCTAGTGTTAGTCTGCATATTTTCTGATCCTGAGGGATATACACATAAAAAACAGGACAGTCGGCTCGGCGCCTATAGCTCAACCAGCTAAGGCGCCAGCCAC